ATAACAGATTTTCACAGGATTTGAAAAATGCTGCAGTTTTAAACAAACAATGACAAAAACAGCTGGGTATGGTTTGTTTTTTTAAAAGGGCCCGCCTGGCAATGTGGCAATAAGAATAATTGTCTTGATGCCAAAAGAGCCCAATAGATTTTACTTTCGGCAATTGTAACTGCATTATAGTTACAGTAAGAGTATTCCTTTTGATTACTCGTTACTAAAAAAAGGTAGCGGCGTTAGTAACGCCGTTACTTTCAACGCCGTTACTCCCATCACTGCTTATCTCCGACGCATATCAACATATTTGTCGTGTTCCAGACAACCGCTAAACGTGTTTCTATCTTACAGCTACCGTTTAATTGCATATTGGCAGCGTTTTGGTATAAAAGGGGTTCACGGGAGGAAAGCGTTAGTACTCCTCCAAACTTCACGGTGAGAAGACGTTCCACAAAAGACGGAAGATCTGGCAAGGCTGAGATGGGAATCCATACTAGCTGTCCTCCAACATTAGCATGATCTCATCAGTTGGACTCTTTTCCAGTTGTAGGGTGAGCGTGAAGGTGAGTGTGATGGATCCTCCCTGCGTTCACACCCACGGCCACATCAACACACTTCCTAGCAGATATGATGCTGAATCTGCCGCCACTGCAAACCTTCTTTCTTTATTTTTTCCATTTTATTTTATTTTTTTGGCGGACGGTAAAGCAGCTAGGTTAGTATCACGATCAAAGAAATCTTTTTATGCAGGCCGGGCGCCTCTGGGCATATTGCTGCCCCCCTCATGACAATGGCTTGTGCATCATTTAATGGGCATTACGCTGCCATGCGTTATGCATCATTTAGGGCTGTCTTTGGACATAAGCTCTGGACTTGCTATGACTACTGTATGTATACCCCCAAATTGAAATAGAAACAAAGAAAGTTCAGCATATGCAAGTGTTTTAGAAGATTCTGGGATGTCATAGCCTCGTGAGACCATCCTGATCTCGCGAGCTTTCAAGGTTTCACTCGCAGATCAGTCTGGAGACTTTCCATTGAAGAAAATTTAAAGCCGTTCACCAAACGAACGTCCAATCAGCGTTGGCTTTGAGGCGGGTTGAGGTGTGACGCAACGAGAAGCGCGACAGTTCAGTCTAAAGAACATGGCGGCTTCAGCCGATGAAACTAGCGTTAGCGTGGCTATCGAGCAAGTTTTATGGGAATTACAGAGTATTTCTTCACTGAAAGAAGAGCAAAACACTGCTCTGGAGGCTTTTCTCAGAGGAAAAGATGTTTTTGCTCTTCTCCCGACTGGTTTTGGCAAGAGTTTGATCCATCAATTGGCTCCTCTTCGTCGTCGCTCTGTTAGTACGTCATATGCTTCGTTGATCTGATTGGTTTATTTGGCCCGTCTATCACCAACATAGGCCAATCAGCTAACCAGTATTTTCGCCCCTTCCCAAAATTACTTCAACGGAAGGTTTCCAGATGAATACGCGGAGCAAATCCATCTGGCGGAGTCAGGTTAGGGATGTCAGGCATACTCTGGCTAAATTGTCAAGGTGTGACGGCGGCTTTATAGACTTTTTTTCAAAGCAAAGTGAATGAGCCCCTCCCTCCTGCAAAACAGAGGTATTTGGTCAGAATGACAGCATAAATTAGGCACAATGTCGCCATTTTAATTTGACTATTGACCATGAACCCGTGTGGAAGCTTCAAAAGAAGCCTCCATCACCAAGCCGGAATGCCGCTGTACCAAACACCCACGGCCCTGGATGTATCACTGCTGCCTCAACTGAACCAGTGGGCAATAAATGGTATCGACAAACATCATCGGGAATATTTTGGGCAGGAATGAGTCTGACGTTTCTTTTTAAACTATTTTTATCCTGTTAGCTGTAATATAACCATCACAAGGAGAGCCCCCTGCTGCTTGGAAGGGTGCCGCCATTTTTACACTTCATAGCAGAAGTGCATAACCGAAGTTGGTTAATTCGACTTAATTTAAATTTTAAATCCTTTTTTTTAGGCTTTTCTTCCAATAAAGGATTCCTCACTTTGAAACTGTTCTTTGTTTTTGCACACAAAAAAGACACAGAAAAAAAAATTCACACTGGAATTTCTGGAGGAAACATAAACCTAATGTCAGTTTATTTTATACCTTAACCTAATTTATTACCTTTAATCTCTCCTATGAGGGCTAACCTCTTATCCTACCTTGGTGAATGAAAAACCTAGACCTACAGTCTGATGATTTAATACTTCATTAAATTCCCGTTATGACTGACTTCCAAAGTTTGGGACCAACCCCTGTACTTCCAGATATACCTTTAAAAATGGGGGCAGCCGTTGGGTACTCTAGGTCAAAAGTTGCACTCAATCCAGCGAGTGTGTGTGTGTGCTACAACTTCAGATCAGGCTTAAATTGAAAGGAAACTGGACTTTCGCTCAGATTTTTTAAAGACATTTCAACACCTATCCAGGAGTCATAGTTAATTCTGTTGGCTCAACGTAGCAACCATTCAAAGGCTACAGGATAGGCATCAAAATGTCTTCAAAAAAACAGAGCGAAAGTCTGGTTACTTTTCAATTTAACCCTTTTTTGTGGTTGCTATGACCTACAGTAGATGACTGAGAATTTACACAGGAGTGCTTGAACATCAGAAAAAAAATCAAAATAAATATTTGGCAGCAGACCTTTATTTATGGCAGCCACATTTATTTAACTCAGTAACAGCAGCCTATGAGAAAGTAATACAATTCGAATTATGTTTCACATTTGAAACACACGCGTTTGAGCGTTTGGACAGATGCCAGTCCAAGTCTGAGCATACACCTATTGAAGAAGATGAGCTGTATGATCAGGGGATTGCTGCTGGACCTGACCAATATCAAATGCTTTCCAAAGTCCATCATGCTATACTCCTGTTCCACTCATGATTCACACCAAAAACAACAGTTTTCAATAATAGGTGAACCATAAGTCATCAGATTTCCACAACCATTCCATCCCTCACCCCGATTTTCAACTCAACTGTAAAAGACAGGAGACAAAAACGTACTACACAGAATGTTAGTGGGTAGCTTCTGCTTATTTATGTCTACACTGCAAAAAAATATTATTCTCAATAAGTATTTATTTTTCTTTTAAGGAGAATTAAGGAGATAAGTAAGACACTTTGCCAATGGAAAGAGACAATTTACATTAAATTAGGGATGCACGATATTGAGATTTTGGCCGACATCCGATATGCCGATATTTTAAAACTCATGTAGCCGATAACCGATATCGATACCGATGTTAAAGCTGGACAAAAATAAGTAGTC